GGACAAAGTGAAGACAAGGTACTAGAACTATATTGATGTTGATCTTTTCCATGACTCGTAATTGAAATTGACGTTCAAATCAGTTGATAGGTTCGTAAGGTGGATAAATCTATATATCCACTGAGTAAATCCCTCTCCGGTGGGTCTCACTGAAGGCTTTGCTAACACTTATCAGCTGGATAACGATTAATCCGTTGGATAGCGTTATCCGTCCTTTAAACAACTGAGCTCTGTGTAATTATGTGAAGATTAGGGAAGAGTGAACGGAAAACAAAAGGCCTTTCTAAGATTTCCAAAAAGTTTAATTTTTTTCTTTTTGCCGGGGGGTAAAAGCGAATTCGAACCATGTACAAGGGAGAGAGGGTAACTCACCTATATCATAGTAGTCCAACCACACGGTGCGTGTCCAAGAGCTAAAGACCACCTGGTCCATTAGTTGAAAACAATGCTGTATTCTTAGAATGCGCGCGCGCTTACCCGCCTGATTAGGCGATTTTTACGCGCAATGGAAAATGCGCCGTGCAATACTGAGGAATCACTTTAAGATAAGCATTTTTTTCTCCACACTTAAAAGATTTTTCCTCAATAGCGAATAGTGTCTCTTGTGCTTCTTTTACCCATGGCGTGCTTACGTGGAAAATGAATAGAACACGTGTGAGCAAAATTTTCTTTGTCTAGATCAAGGTCCTTCTAAGATTACGGCAACAGATTTGAAATAAAAATATCTGAAAAAGTAATAACCTTGGAATAAAGCCTGCATGGGAAATCCATTATCTCAGATTTATGTTGTCTTGGCTTAGGGAATAAGGCCGTTAATAACAGTTTTATCCTTCCGATGTGTATAGGTTTTTTCTGGAAACTCCGATCGTCACAGTGTAGTGCAACATGACTTGAACCCAGTCATTAAGCAACGTTACATCCGTTTTCGACCTCTGACTTGGAAGGGAAGGATTGCAATGAGGGTAGAGCTGTATGGCTGCCGTGGTAAATATATTTTGTTTTAATCATATCCATAGCGAAAAATTTTGCCTTTTTTCTTGTAAAGCGCTGTGAGTTCCAGTGTATGAGTTCAAGTAACAATCGATCCTCGTCAACTTGAAGTAAAAAGCCTACTCCGTGATAGAACGGTTCCGGAAACGCGAAAGGAGGTCATTCTCTATGAAGATCTCTTCTCTTTCCAGATGAATGTGTCACCTTTGTCATAATAGCAAGTCATAAATGAGCACTGAAGTTGTATCAAAGCATGTAATTCCTCTTTCTTCATGAACATCAAAAGTTTCTCGATAGTTAAATTGTGTCTACATACTCTCATTTATGAAGCCCATCGACCAACGTAAGCGCTATTAGTTTTAAAAATCAATATCGGAATCTGACTTATCTGACTTACTTCAATTTTCTTGACCATTCAGATTGTTTTGAAGCCCTCGGTATGGAAAGTAACGCAATTTCTGACGTTCAGATAACTGGTTCTACAGAAGTTAATAGTAATTACGCCCCTACACTCGGCAGACTACATCTGCTGCCTGCAGTACGGGGATTAAGTGGAGCTTGGGCCGCCGCCGGTGGTGATACCAACCCTTGGCTACAGATTGATCTGATTAAACAGAACACTAAAGTTACCGGTATAGCAACTCAAGGAAGGCATGACGTATCCCATTGGGTGACAAAGTATTCTTTGCTTTACAGTAATGATTCACTTGCCTGGCTCTACTACAAAGAACAAGGAGTGAAAAAGGTCGGGCCAGATTCGTCTGCTTATACGGACCTTTTGTAAGAAAGTTAATTGACAGCTATTCGTGGATGGCGAAGTAAATATTATTAAATTTTCCCTGTGCCGAAGTTGAAAGAATTGTTTTACAGTATCTACTGCATGAGCATGAGGCAAAAAGTTGTTTTAGGAAAATCTAAATTCATTTTATTTTTTAGCTTCTACTTGCCATGTATCAAAGAACAGATACATGGAGTCAGCGGTTAGATCACATAATCAATCTATAAATTACACTTGACATAAGCGAAAAACTGATTGTGTTAACGTGCTTTTACGAAAAAAGGGAAGGTTAAGCAGGCTTAAAATATCTCAAAAGAGGCCAATTGCAGCCAATCAGATACAGAACGTTAAATACCTCTGCTATGATCGTCTCACATCATCTCACACGACCAATCAGAGTGCACCATCTACATTATCACCAAAGCAAATAAATGCAATGCGCGATTCGAGGATGTATGATAACATGTCGTGCGTCATTACGTTTGAAATCACACTTCAGGCTGTGGAAAGCTATCTACAAAATATCACTAAAAGATGATAAATAATATAAAAGAAGAACTTGTACAACAAGAAGGAAAAACTATTTCTACGGACGAGGAAAGTTATAGTGAAAAGCAAATGCTACGTTTTAAAATTTTATGGTGAAACAAAATGCGACTGACATCCTTAAAAGAAAAAATTGAGGACAACTCAGCCAGAATCGAAGGCATTTAGGGAAGAATTAATTTCCGTGATTTTAGAGAGGATTCCATCAGCAATTAACTTCACCATTTTACTTTTTTTTTCATTTTGCTCGCTCAGGATTTTACAGGGAACACTGACCGACTTACTGTGGTACCACATGACTTGAACCCTCCAATCACCACGCGAGTGATTCGTTTTCAAGTTCTAACTTGGTACAGCTGGTATGCGATGAGGGTGGAACTGTATGGTTGCCATGGTAATGAGTTTCTTATTTACATTCATCTTGTACTTCTCCAGAATTCTTAGTTTATATCTTTGTTTCAGCTGAGAGTTACTTTTAAAGTTATGTTATTGACAATAATGCTTTTACCATAACATTTTCTTTTCTTCGACCAGTGACTTGGGCAGGTTGTAAAGCAAAGGCAGAGAATCTGTACGGCTGTCAAAGTAAGTGTAAAACGATGATCATTTTTAAGAAGCCGATAGCCATTTTGTGCTGAAATTTTCCATTAGTGTACCAGCCGATCTATCTATATATACGACCGGGTAGAGATTTGAGTTTCAGCAAAAGAAACGAGGCAGGAAAAAATACTCACAAAAATTACCAAATACTAGTGTCAAGAATTAAATTAAGACTTTATTTAATAATTTTCTTTTCTGAGAAAATATCCATCTAACTTGCTTAAAAATAAGTTTTATTACAAAGGCTTAACGCACCTAGCAATAAAGGGCTGATGTAGATTTACGTGGTTCTCTAAATTTATTCTGCACAACATAATATAAAATGCAAATAATCGGTTCAACAGTAACTTCAAATGCAATTTAATTCATCGTCTGTGGGATAAGACAGCGAAATAGCTTTGAGAAGATAATGGCAATTTGACACGCCATCTGGCATACTATGGCAATGGTGCAAGTGGGAAAAACTTAGGAAATTGTTACTTTTTTTCCAGAATTTTATTTGAAAACACTCTGTTTTAATGGTCAGTACGCATTGTTTTGGAAGTACTTTTAGGATCAAGGAGGATTTTTTTTCTTATTATTATTACCCCACTTACACCAGCAAAACATACTTAGTTAACTGAATGAAAGTAAGGTCTCAATTAGTCACTAATTTGCATTTTCAATGTATCAAATTTGAAGTCGACAAACATCGATTTAAGAAGCTCCTATGGTGAAAAAAAAGTTATAAACCGCATCTAACAAAACAGCTTTAAAACATGTTTTAAGCTTTGGTGTTAATGAGGCATATGATTGATTTTAATTGCCAGTTTGGAGAAGGGTTTATTGAAAGTATGTATGTTCACTGAGAGGTAATAATCATTTCGCATCATATAGATTGCATGGAAGCCCTTGGCATGGAGAGCTATGCAATTACTGATTCGCAAATCGGTGCTTCTTCAGAGTACAATGGCATTTACCCTGCAGTTCGAGGCAGACTTCATCTCAAGACCGTGCCAGGGTGGAGAGGTGACGCTTGGGCGGCTCATCCGGGAGATAGCACCCCATGGCTACAGATCGATCTGATTAAGCAGCGTATTAAAACTGTCAGGGTAGCGACACAAGGAAGACACGACTCACCCCAATGGGTGACAAAGTATTCCTTGTCGTACAGTAACGATACAAGTAATTTTTTGTTCTATAAAGAACAAGGGAAAAGTGCAAACAAGGTGAGTGTCACCTAAATTGACCGTTTTTACGACATAAGCTGCAGTCTCTCGAGGCCTAATTCTCTCAGTTTCTCATGCCAATACCGATTGCTTAGGGTTAGGGTATCCTGGTTTTGTTTGATTCATTTTTACCACATCCTTATGCTTTGATGATCCAAACTTAAAAGGATACTCAAAATAGTTCCCTTTGCAACTTTTTTCCCTCAAAAACTTTAACTCCTCTGTCAAAGTATTGTATGGCATCAGATCAGTTTGTCTAGCTTTATAGCATGACATGATTCCTTTTTTTTATGATAGCATGTCAGTTCGAGTCATCGGGAACGTAAAAACATATTTGATTATCTATTACTTAATTAGGAATTCAGTGGAAACACAGACCAGCGCACTGTTGTTTCACATGACTTGAGCCCAACAATCACTGCACGTTACATCCGATTTCTGGTGCTCACTTGGAATGCCTGGCCATCAATGAGGGTGGAGCTGTACGGTTGCCATGGTAATGGAAAAAATTTTATTGCGATATTTTGTTTCAACACTTAATCATTTCAAAATCATTTGCAAAATTATTCTCTTAAACTGATTACCTTGCGTTGAACAAATCGAATTTGAGTCTTCCTCCACAAAACAGAGGATTAGGGCATGTTTTGTCTGACATCTGTTGAGTTTGTTTTCAACAAACATAAGACGTAGGATAGTTAAAAGCATGTAATCTGGGGCTAGTGTTGATGGTTGTTCAAATATGACAGAAATCGGATCATGACCAAGCAAAAATATGTTCAACCAATCAGCATCGCCAACGCTTACTAAATAATTATTTCGAGCCCTGTATCAGGAGAAGCTTCACGTTAATCACCTCTAGGAGTTGAAAGGTTTGTAGAATAGCAACAGTAACCCTCTATTTTTGGCTTTGATTAATTATGCACTCGATTAGATTGTCGTCGCGCTCTTGGAATGAAAAGTGGTGAAATTGCTAACGTACAAATTAGTGCCTCTTCGGAACTCAATCGTATTCACGCCGCCATTCTGGGAAGACTAGAGTCCAGGGTAGTTGGAGACAAGAGGGGTTCTTGGGTAGCCCCCCCAGAAGACCGTAACCCTTGGCTACAGATTGATCTGCTGAGGCAGGACACCAAGATAACACTGATAGCTACCCAAGGAAGATATGACGCCGCACAATGGGTCACAAAGTACTCGCTGCTGTACAGCAATAACACAAGTGACTTTATATACTACAAGGAACAGGGGCAACGAAATGCAAATAAGGTGGGTTGGTCCGACGGAGAAACAACTGAGAATTTTGTAAAATATATAATGACGAATGCGTCCAAATACGCTGGGACGTCTCTTTTACTCAATCTTTTCACGTGACCTGCACTGACAGCCCCGCGCATAGTATTTCTGAACAGCATCATTAAACAATCCCGTATTTGAGCCGTACAGCTGGTTTGAGTAAGACCTACCGATAGATACGAGTTAAAATGTAAGTAGAGAAGGAAGAGAAGTAAGAGATGTCATACGATGATGAAATGATAATCGCCTGTCGCACAGAGCCAGACGTCGGGAAATCGAACCACACATTTTTATTTCTATGGCCCTCCGGCTCCCCTACTCAGTCAATGAGTACAGTGCTCTTCAAAGTGTACCAATTGTCCGTTCTAAGACAAAAAGTTTATTTCTATCGCAATTTAGCAACTACAAAATTAATGAGATAAACTTATTTTGAACGATTTCTTCATCTGTAATGTGTCGATAGTAATTGCACTATACGAGTTATTTTCTGCAAGAACTAAAATCAGTATGTAACGAAATGTAAGAACGTTTTTATGCTGCAAGTAACGTATTGCTTTGTCAATAAATACGAAGTGAATACAAAATTGTCTTTATATGACAATACAAATTATTTTCTGCAAGAACTAAAATCGGTATGTAACAAAATATAAGAACGTTATATGATGCACGTAACCAATTGCGTTCTCAATAGTTACGAAGTGAATGTAAAATTGTTTTTATCTGATAAACATAAGACTCGGTTAGGATCAGGATAAGCATGACAGCAGTCTCTCTTTTTTTATTTCAACCATGTAGGAATTTGCAGGAAACACCGACAGTCACACGGTTGTATCACATTTCCTTGACCCACCTGTCACGGCGCGTTATGTTCGTTTTCAAGCTCTCGCGTGGTACCGATGGGCAGCAATGAGGGTGGAGGTGTATGGTTGTCATGGTAATGTCATAAATTCCGCCAAACTCTATTTAATTTCAATCACAAGAGAAGAAATAGTCCAACTGGGGACATAAGTTGATAGGAAATCCATTTAGCAATCAGAATATGAGCTCGACATTTCTACCGCACAATAGAAATCAAGAACGGATAATCTACATTGAATTGTTTATCATAAATCTACTAGTCGTTCAGAACTTGAAAACAGGGGCTCTAGTTTTTAATTTAATTTATACACGCATATATATATATATATATATATGAACACACTCTTTAGCTACTCACTCTAATCGTTATCAAGAAAAATTAATGGGACATTTTTCCTCTCGACAATATGGATCACGAGATTGGCAGTCAATCAAATTATAACATTTGTGGTAGAACTTTATAACTATTCATGGTATCTTCATCTGTTTTGTGTAAATGTAAGATCTATTCACTTTTATTTTTACCTCTACTTTTTTTTTTGCAACATTTAAATATGATACAGAGCTGTCTAAGGTTTTTTTCAAGCGCTTGTTATGTTACATGAAAGGAGGGGGTAGAATTCGAAGTTCAGCTAGCACAGGGAGTTTCAAATTTAAACAATTTGGATATTTGGACAACTACATAACTGATTCCATTTAATTAACCAATGGACTGCCTGAAAGATCAATACCATCTCTGATCTACCCCAATGACGCTGTCTTTTTCCTCTACAGATAATAAAAGAAGAAGAGGATTTTAAAAAAATATGAACCTCACTGAACTATTTCATTAATTTTGTGATAGTCCTGAATATCAAGCGTAGTGATGTGTAAACCGTGACGAAACTACCTCAACGACTCGCAGCTATTGCGATATATAGTGACCACAGGGTCACCACACCAGCATTTAACTTAACTACTCAAACATAAGTTCTTAACCACGAATATTGTACAGCCAGTAGTAATGAATATTGGTATATTAATCAATGAAAGACATCGTGACTGTGTCACGAGACCTGATTTGGTCCAAAGACAGTCGGCCATGTCGAATTTCGATCTTGCATTGACTTGTCCAGAATTCAGGTCAGTGAAGACAAATCAATTCACGTGGTGCATCATTATCGCAGTTTTTTCATTGGCCTTTTTCAAGTTCTTAGTGTGTATTGAATGTGATTTCTAAAAACGCTTTTAGTATGTTACCCCTTCCGACATACTTTCCAAATAATAGGAGTTTCACAAGATGAAAGAGCTGTCTGCTGACCTTTCAGAATTTGTAGAAGACACATTTTACATCTGTACTGGAATAAAACTTTCAGGCTGAAAAAATTGTAATAACGGAAAAAGAAATTTTAACCTCTCGGAAGCGTAGAAAGAGATTACAAAGAACTGGCCACAAGTACTTCTGTCAGAATGAAAAGTTGACTAAACAGGCCAGTATTCTTTCGCATTATCGCAAGGATGAAAAGGTTTCCATACATACATCAAAAATGTTTTTGGAATACTCTTATTATCACATAATATCTCCATGAACAGCTCTAGCTTAGCTGCCAACACTTTCTGTACGTTTTTTGCATTGTTAGTAGTGTAAATTTGTATTATCATTTTTGACACTCCTAATAATAGGTGTTACATTGTGTGGCTTAACATTTTGTAAAAGCAACCATTTGTTTAGTGCGTTTTCCTGCCGCGAAATATATTCTACTAAGTTGTTAACAGACCTTGAATTTTCTCAAAGATAATTATCCGAAGCACGAGAAAACTAAGGACCACAAAGGACCACAAAGGACCACAAAGGACCAAGCGAATGCGAACGCAAGGGGTTGTGGGACGGGAAGCGAAAAAAAATCGCTCTCGCACGCTCTTCTCATGATTCCTCGATTTCTCAAAATTCCTCGCTTCCGTACTGTGTCAAAAAATCGATGAATAATCAGCAAAATAATGGGTCCTTGCAGATTCTAATCTTAACTTTGGTGGAAGAGGGTTCTTACACTGTCCCTTGTGTCATGGCGAAATTTTTTGTTTCGCTATGTTTTTAGGAATACAAACCCTGTAGATGTAATTGAAGGCAAAAAGAACACGTAGATTTATCTTTCAAGAGAAAAATGTTCCTCTCCGTACACATCGCCGGCTATCAAGTTTATTTTTGGCTCAATCACCGTTTGTATTGTTTGGCGATATGATGGAACTGGTTGGAGGTACGGTTTAACTTTTTAAGTCCCAGGACCAATTTGTAATTCTCTTCTTTGAGTGCCATTCATTTTATTGATTCCTCGATAAAAGAATCGTGTGCGACGCTAAGTTTTCACCCTCTAACTGATAAGCTTGTCTGTTGTCATAGCCTGCTTGAAGGATAAAGTATTTTGAAATCACAAGGAGAAGTAAGCGGTGACTGTCATTTCTGAGTGCTGAAAGATCAAGAAGCAATCATCTCTTCGTACTTATTTGCTTGGGGTTAGGGCTAGGGTTAGAAACTCTTTACGGTGGACAATTTGCGTTATCAACCCAGTTGATAATACTAAACTACCCTTTTTTCAATTAATATGAAGATGGAACATTCATATACTGTAGTTTATTAAGTTACATAACTCCGATGTACTTTGTGTAACCCTGTTATGCTTCTCAGAGCGGCCAGTGTCCTGCAGAAGACTCTAACATCGCATGATTAAATCTGTTCTTACTCCTGTAACAATGTTGTTAAGAAAACAATTGGATTCAGATGTTTTCGCTTTTCATGTGGTGAGAGCTAATTAGTGGTTAATGTTATTATGGTTATCTGGATGTAGACCTGTAAACCAATTCTTTATTCTTTATTCTTTTCTGGGTTTTTTTCCCTGTACTTTTAGGTAAATATACCACATGAACAATTTGACTTGACTGGCATACAATAAAAATCAACTCTTCATCAATTAAAAACTTTTGGCGAGGCTTTTAACTGCCCCGATCAAAGTTTTGGATAATAGTGATATGACTGTTATAACCCACCGAGTAATTTTTGCGCGACTCTATGGGCTACTTAAGCCTCACGTGGTGCAAAATCACCCCAACAGTTATCACGCAATTACCCTTATCTACTTCGATATTTGCCTATCGATTATTTCCGTCGAAAAGGAAACATAACCAATAAGAAAAAAGGCTGCTCAAGAGTTTCAATTCATTTTTGTTTCTTTACGTGGAAGAACACCGAACTCGTTTTGTAGATTCCAGGGAAAGTGACACTATAAAGTTGATTCATAATGCTGCTCCGGAAAGAGCAAAGAAGTCAATAAATTTGCTGTTAACATGCGATACTGAGGGATTGTTAATAAAACAATCCTCTCTCTGGTACGTCGACTAATATTTCCATGGCTGAGAAACTGTCCTCAAAATTCACAGCTTCGCCTCTGGGCCAAATATTCCTTGTAGGACAATATCTCAGCCGTAGCCATTATCGGCCCACATACCTTCCGCCTGAAGGGGTTTATTTACTAGGCACTGCAGTATGCTCAATTCGATCAAATTTGAATTAACTTAGAAAATTCTGATAGCTTTATGAGAGAAAATTTGGTTCTAAGTTCTAAAAACAGGCTCAGCTAGGTGCATTAGAAATAAACCGGCCAAGAATAACCATATATATAGAGAAGAAGTCAAGCAGACTCCTTATAATATTGACATGATTCCGATGTAAAAATTTTCTCCATCCCGTCTCTACAAAGTGAACCAACTTTTAACCCTATTGGAACCTCTTCTAATTAATCACACCTTAACCTCTGTATAAACATTTTCCATATTGCACATTTCCTTTAGCACTTTAGAACCTCTTCTAATTAATCACACCTTAACCTCTGTATAAACATTTTCCATATTGCACATTTCCTTTAGCACTGACAATGATAACTTCTTTAACAACCACGAACTTCTTCAGTTGGCCATCGTTTCCTTTATCCTCGAGCACTTAATAAGGATGATTGATCCAGAGGTAATACTGTGACGATAAATTTCGTAGATAATCGAAGTCGATTTTTAAAGCACTTTAACACAGGTTTGGTATACTAAAGTACTGCAGTAGATTCTGAAAATATTTATTTCATTCTGGCAGCGTGAACCACTGAATAACAATAGCAATTTCGTCCTCACGTCCTAAAAAAAAATGCCACAAAGTGTCCTTATGTTTAGAAATTAGTCACTGGGTCGAAGTAAATCTAATAATGGATGACAACAGATGCTCGGGTAAGGGGAATACTACATGGAAACATAGACTAGTATTTACAAAACTAGTATAATAATACAGTATCCAGTCATCGAAAACTCTCTCTTAAGCGACCATTGCACGAAATTTTCTCGATTTCTAAATTCTAGAGGTAAGAAATTTTAAAGTCTCTTTCTTTGTGTGTCCAACAGCGACCATACAAAAGGTTGTACGAATCTCTTGCATCGCTGAGGTTTCACGGAGATCCGTTTTACAGAATGATGGAAATTGATTCGAAAAATAACTTTCAAGTGAGAGCGCAAAATCCATGAATGAATTAAAAAAGTAGCGTACTGAACTACAGTTACTAATTCAGAAGACTCTTTTGTAAAGTGAGATAAGAAATATTAGAATTAATAGATCCGAGCGGTTTGATTTTTTGCATTAATTTTTTGCTTATGCGACTTCTTGTTCGTGCACAGGGTAGGTTACCATAGGATAGAATTGAATGTGTACACTCAATTGCAGAAGCGTTCCTAAATTGTATGATCCATGAGCGATGTGACCCAAGAGCGTTATGGGAAATGTTTGCACAGTTACGTAATCAGTGCTTTCCTTTTTCTATTATTTATGAAAAATCTTTTTTTTCTTATGAAAATTCTTTCCTTTCAGGAAAGCTTGGTTGGCTTCCATCGTTTAGCACGTGCAACTTTTTGTGGTTAACGCGTACATGAGTACCCATCAAGCCATTTGTCCTCGTCGTTCATTGCAAACGATTTTCACGTTTCAATGACTTTGCAATCGGGTGTGTGCAGTTATTACATGTATGTAATGCAAGTCACCCTTGTCTGTACGTTAAGTTAGAAATGTCAAACGCCAACTGTTAGCAAATGCTGCATTTTAATGATTTTGGCAATAACACCCTACTCTCAGTAGTTTGAACAGA